TCCTGAAATAAACAATTACGTTAAAAACTTTTCCACCCGGTTCTACCAGGTAATGGTTTTAAATTATATAAATAAATAGTGATAATATGGGGCTGGCCTATTACACTTCTCACTATATTTCTCATTACCGAATATGTCCTGTATATTTATATGTATATATTAATAGATTATGGGGCCATAGGATATATGTTTCGGGATGTGTTAGTTCGGTTTTTCCGCATTCTCTTGTATAATTAAAGAATCTTCTGAATCTGTGAATGGGCATAAGAAAATGAATGGTAGAAAGCCTAATTTTCATCGTAAGTGAGAGATTTTTTAAGGTGATATGAAAGATTCGGCCTATATATATCTGAAAGGTCCAATCATTCGTGAAAGTATTCTCCGAATTGAGTGTACCGATTTGTTTCATATTTTATCACGTGAATATGGAGGCCCCATAGTAGGTCCTGAAACTCATGAAATTTTATTTTTCATCAAAAATGTATCATGAACCAGAACCAACAAGGCGAGGTCCGTGCACGTTTTCGGTTTTACGCTTCTTGGAGGCTTAGAATAGAAAATGAAGAGTTTCAGGATCTAGCTTGAACAATTTAGAATACCATAGAAATGGAATATTATAGTGTCAGATGCGAAAATATGGAAAATACTTTCACCAAGCATTGCAAGAGAATGTTGGCTTGTCTCGTATTTTTATAGCAAACATTTAGTTGCAGCTAAACGTCACAGATGGAGACGTTGGTCCATTAGCATATTAACAGTCATGAATTTACGGGATTTCTATAGTTTTACATCGATCTCTTTATCATTTCTGTACTGAAATGACATATGGAACGCTTCATTTATAATTCTCAACGTAAAGTTTAACGGACTTCAATATAAATATAAACGTCGGTAACGTGACACGCCAGCTTATGTTACCATTTGAGTATTTAAAATTGCGTTGCCACCAAAAAGGATATAGATGAATTTTAATTGATCAACATCAATAACATTTCCTAGCGCCTTTAATATCATCTTAATTTTTAGTACTAGGAATATATAATATTGGTTAATTTCTGGTATAGTGGGGTTTGTTTATGCGATGTGTGACGTAAGCGGGCATTTTCCATTACGTGTAAACATATATTTTGCACAGTGTTCTAATAAACACTACCGTACAGTAACAAGAAAATGCATATTTGCATATCAGAGCACTATCTTGTGTTTTTATAGTGTCTATTATCATTTTAAGTTAGCAACTAAATTACTACTACGTGTATTATCATTTGAAGTTAGCAACTAAACCGTTTTTAACGGCTCAGTAAAGTCCACGACTTAGGAATATGCGATGAGTTTTTGTGCGCATTAAAATAAAGTCACTCATGCCAACTGATTATTTATTGTGCGTCATGTATAAAAATTGTGGAATGTTATAAAGTAATTGTAAACGTAAATAGATACGTGAAATGATCCGTTACAATGATCGTGTAAAATATATGGCTTCATTAATTACAGACGTGAAGTAGTATACTTGCATTGTTAATATAGGAGAAACTTTGGATAATATTTTATACATACACATACAATATTGTGGCCATTACTCATCACTTGGTAATCTCAATGTAATCTGTAAATTATTATTAATTTATTGGCAGAGGTAATAGATCTCCCTTGAGTAATTGAATTTAAATGTGAAACACTTCTGGAGGAATAAATTAATATTATTATTTTATGCATTTCAGAGGTAGACGTCACATTTTCAATGCTTTTGATATTAACAGAGTGAAACGAAAAATATTTAGTTGGAGCAGCTTATTTTGTTATAATATGTAAACCTTGGTCTTATTCTTAGCCTAGTGATTAAAGTTACTTTTAGTGGCGACAGGATTAAGTTTAGAAACAGGTAATTAATATCGTCCGAAGGATGTTATGCTATAATATTGTGTTAATGAGGCAATTGGTATGTTGGTTTATTTATTGTTCATTTAATTTAATCGCTAGGTTTAAGTTCAATTATAGAACGAAGTTCTATTACAAACGATAACAATATTTTAACAAGATAAGATATCAACACGTTACACCTGTTTCTATGATGAATATCTTTTCATTATTAATTACCATTTTCTTCAAAACATATTTATTCTCTATTCAGATTAAATCTTAATTAACATATTTCATATTTATTTTTACTTATTATAAATAGTAGGTTTCAATCTTCTCATGTTATCTGAAAGGCTTTCAAAAAAAGTAATTTTGCTTTACAAAATGTATTTAGCGAAGGTCTTATTACATCACAGGTATTCTTCACAGGAATTTATTGTAATAATAGGGTTACTGTTTTAAACGTTCTATTTATTCATTGTTGCACATAGAGTGATATCGATGTATCGATCAACTCCTCGATGTCCTTCGATTTCTTTCAACAAACATTTGATATACATCGTAGAGGCCAAATAGTCGTGACTACAATTTCGTCGTAACTACCTGTACTCATTATCAAGGAATTATATGACTTTGTCGTGAAACACGTTCAACGATTGTTGCCTTTATTATAGTGATGACGGATCACCTCATTTCTATATGTACTAACAATTTCGATTTATCCGGTTCGAAATGCACAATTGTTGGCGTTATTTTTAAAAACCTTTCTTTAACTAAATCTGAATCGGTTAAACATTTTACTTGTCGAGCAGCCCATATTCAAAATGATGCGCTCAAGTAAGTATAGCTTTTCTGAGCTTGTCGAATAATGCAAAAAAGAAGTCATGTAGACATATAAATGTTGATACCGATAAACAATAGTTCATTGGTAAATGAAATATACCATTCATGTTGTTCCTTTTTCAGTAATATTTGCTATAGTAGCATTCGTCTTCTTTATTGGAATTGAAAAGGACGTTTTGGCGAAACATGAGTGTCCTCCTGAAATAAACAATTACGTTAAAAACTTTTCCACCCGGTTCTACCAGGTAATGGTTTTAAATTATATAAATAAATAGTGATAATATGGGGCTGNGGTTGGCGGTTACGGATTAAAATTTATAAAATATATGAAATTCGTTACAGAATCAACTTTTATTACGTTTCCTATCATTTATTTTATTTACAAACATCAAATTTCTTATAAACATTCACTACAGCCTTCTCTCCGATTTAAACTTGCCGCTGCTGCATTTCGTGGTACCCGACCCCACCACCTGGCGGCGCCATATACAGGAGGAAGGCATTCTTGTCCGCCAGTGTACACTGGCATTCATCGATGGTTTCCTCGCAGACCTACTGCCCTCTCCAGCCACACCGCGTTCTAACGGCGGGAGCAGCGCGGAATTGGAATCGCCAAAGGGGTAGAATGGATTTCCTAAAGGTGTAGAACGTAAATATATAAGAGACATGAAATCATGATTCCGCTTTTATGTCCGAAAGTGGATGCATTGTAAATTTCTCTATGGTATTTCACATTGGCGCGACGAAGATACGCGATGGCCGGCTCTCCATCATTGTTCCACCCACAGAAATACTACACCTGCGCTTGTTTAAGGTGATGTGAAAGTGGCGCCGAAGAGGTTTTGTTTATAAAACTTTTCTCCCAACTCGGTTTACCGGAAGTTTGAAACGTTATAACGTGAATAGGGAGACTATAAGGAAGGTCCCGAAACTCATGAAATTTCAATTCTTTTCAAATTTGTTTATAGGTATTTTAAAAATAGTTCATAAAAAATAAAATTTCTCGAGTTTCAGGATCTACCTTAGGGTCTCCATATTCACGTTTTAAAGTATGAAACGATTTGAGACACCCAGTTCTATGAAATGTTTTATGAACGATTGAGCTTTCGGATGCCACTTTCATATCCCCTTAAGGTGAAATGAAACCCCCTTCAAGTCAGTTGATTTGAATACAACACTTATTTTTAAGGGTATTAGACCAAACTCTCCGAAACTTTGACACATCGCTACTGATCATCTAAGAATTGTCCTGACACATTCAAAATTTGGATTTTTTAACAAATTTGTTCACTCAGCCCAGACCAAAACCAAAATGGCGTCGAGCTCTCATATTTCGATCGATATACAATTATCGAAGGCTATGATCCGACTACTGAGGCCCGATTCTCAAGTATGTACATACATATACACATATTGTCACATGTATGCATATTCCTTAATTGCTGATAAATATACTAGTTCATTAGGATGCTTCCATGAAACTACGCAAAATGTTCGAACAGGTTTCTACCTTTATTTTTATAAAAATACAAAAGACATTGAAATCAAACATAATGTATTATTTCTATAACATGCAAAGAATATATAATTTCTGCATGGATAAAACAAAATGATGTTAATAAAAATTACAACATATATCTCTAGCACATGTAGCATAATAATTTCTGCATAGATAAAACAAAATGATGTTAATAAAAAATACAACATATTTCTCTAGCGTGTAGCATAATAATTTCTGCATATTTAAATAAAAAGACACTCATAAAAACAACTTATAACATATATAGATCAAAATCTCTTATACATCGAAGCATCTAAAAGGGTCAGACGATGCTGTGATACTTAGACAATCCATGGAACTGAATACCTTCTTTCGTTGAGAAAATTGATCCTATTTTCATATTGTATTCGATACATCACACTGATAAATGTGAAGTTGCAAAACTTGATAATAAAAATGAACCAAATTCCAAGTGAATTGTGTTACGAAGTTCCAGAAATCAAGAGTAATTGTGATGGGAAACCAACTTCAAAGTGAAACTAATTGAGCACAGTATTACGAAAACTTACTGGACTTGGACAAAGTGAATAATATTCATTCTAACAGCATGCACCGTCCAAGCATGGGATCTATGCCTTCTTTTACAAGCAGAAGCTCACAGCATTGCATCGCCTTGATCATCGAAAATACATTAGAAACATAACTTTTAAAATGCGACTTGCAGCGATGAAAAGAAACAAAATGATCGGAGAGAATATGCTGAATAATCCTAATTGTAAAGACCACCGTTTTTAACACTCAACTTTGAGCAATGAGTACGAAGTACTAAAAACGAATATGCTATATAAAATCTTAAAGACATTACTTTTAACTGCGCACGTGTCGTTTAGCGGAATTGATATTGAGCCTCTTCCTTATAAGACTGTATCACTGCTGACAGGACCTAATGTTTTCAGCATTCTTGTGAATAATATCATTGAGTAAATCAGTATATGCTGTTAGTTCTTTATATTTTGGCATCTTTATAACTATGTCCAGATTCCCAGCAATAAATTCAACAGTCTTAGATCTCAATTCCTTTAAATTATGTTGATACGCAAGGATAGCAATGTCTACCGAGTTTTCTATTTCCAAATCTTTAAATAAAACATTCATGCAAGTCGTCTTCAGTGATTCGATGTCGTACTTGTCAGCAAGATATATTAATTCTTGAGCCCTGTTTTCCACTTTTGCACTGGATCCGAGGTACAAAAACTCAAGCATTAACTCCATTAAAGTAGGATCTTCCACATCCTTTATGTCAATCACTACATCTTTATTTCCCTCTTGCATATCGCTCTCGAACATTTTTTGGAATACAAGACTGTTTGCAGCGAGTACACTCCTATGCGATGGAAATTTCCTATCGGAGATCGTTAATGTTACATCGCTGAAATTGCCACTTGTCCACAAGTACCTTGAGGGACTGCTGATATCTTTCTCTACACAGCATTGTAAACTTTTATTTTCGCAACTCAATAACAGATTCGTCATAAGGTAAAATCTACATTGCAAAGTAACTGTATCGGAAAAAGTATCAACTTTAGTGGACAACAGTTTAAACTGATCTAAAATCCACGCAGAACCTTTAGAGGCTGTCAGGGTTCCTGAATTACATTTCTTCATCCATTTTACTGTACCATTTTGGTTGAGATATAAAAATGTTATTTCACAGGACACGTATGCTGGAACTCTATCAGAACTGCTGAATACTTTCCTTTCATTTGAATAATAATCTTTATTGGGCAAGTCATTAATTTTTAATTTTCCACATGGACCTACAGAAAGAGTCAATGTCTCCTTAGTAGCATGGTAACTTAGTTTTAAGAACCATTGAAAAGGGGAATCTCCAGCAGGAAACCGTGCTGATTCAACTTCACCTTCATTGTGTATTATTAGACTAAAATCATGGAAGGTACACACGTGGGTGTATAGTTGTTTCTCATATTTCACGCTGCCCACAGAGCTGCTGACATGCCGATACAAATCCATCTCTGGTCCGGCTTCTCAATTCTGACTTAATATATCTGAAACAATATTCAAAACTGTTAACACAATAACGAAATTAATCCCTTAACACTTTATTTGCTACATATGAATTAACTTCTGAAATGTGATTTAGATATCTGAAACAATATTCAAAACTGTTAACACAATAACGAAATTAATCCCTTAACACTTTATTTGCTACATATTAATCAAATACGCACAATATACCGGCTAATTCAATTCAGACTCGACTTTGTTTAGGGTCCTTAGCGGCTTTGGGAAAGAACTGATTAATAGATGCTGCTAGAAAAAGTACTTATTTATCGACTCTAGGTAAGCGTTAAATTCTTCAATTCAAACCAATTAGGGACATTTACCTTCACCAAAATGTTGAACGAAGGGTCAGACAATTTGAATTCCAGAATGCCAGGTCGACAAACACACTTGCATGAGTATCGTTAGGATAAAGAGGGAACTCCCACTAGGGATGTTCGATTCCGATTCGATTCTTTAAAAAATCGATTCTTTTGGTAAAAGAATCGATTTTTAGAATCGATACCTTACCCTCAGAATCAAGAAACTGATTCTTTTTGACTGAAACGGTAGAGGGGAGAAATTCGCTTCGCTCATTGGTTGCTGTTAGGCAACAACGACAAGATTGGCTACTGAAACTGAGCGTCGTGACGTACTTCCGTCGTAACTGACTACCAGCAGAGAGCCGATATTGAGGTATTGCGACGTAGTGGAGGGTAGAGTTCGAAAATTCTCGGTAACATCATCTCTGGTAACATTAAATTGGAGAAGGTAACTGTGAAACATACCGTAAGTTACCGGGAACATTGAGAATTTAAGAGAACGTTAATTTTGTTATGTATACTTTAGGTTTCTTCGTTTAAATAACTTTTTTTTTTTCAATCAACTTCAAAGTTCAAGCTAAAGAGTAATAATTACTATTAGAAAATATTGATTATAGGGTCGTATTTACCTCCAGCTAGAAATATTCACGTATGTACAACTTCACGGAAAATTCCATGCGATTTGTTTCAAACGAACTGATATTTCATTCTGCGACGAAGCGAATGGGAGGTTTTGATTGGCTACGGAAAACGTACAACGGAAATTCCCCTCTACGATGTTTCTCTATAGCTAATCGAAACCTCTCGTTCGCTCTGTTGAAAAATTCAAATTCTCATAATTTCTCGATAAAAAAGGCTTTGGAGAAATGACCGATAAGTTCCCGGGAATTTCTCTTCGTTTCTGACGTAACTTACTGGATTTAGAACTCTAAGTGGGGGTTCTTTAGTGTATATCCCACCCACAAGGGAGCGTTGAAGATCGTATACGCAAAAATACATTGCGGTTTTATGGGACCTTCCGCTCTATCTAATACTCTTTGTTCTAAGGTTGGAAGGTAAACAAATAGTAAGGGATATCAATATTTTAATTCTCGTTCAAGTAACTGATTCAGAATTCATTCTGCTGAACGAAGAATATGGTATAAGTTTGTATTTAAATTAAGGATGGCTCACGCGGGTCAGAGTACCCGTAAAATCAAGGAATGCAATGAATTTCTCACTCAATTCCATGCGATATCCAGCAAGTTGAAAAAGTGAGGTTTTACAATAATTATTATTTAGTTACTACGGATTGATTAATTTTGCCAAGTGTATGGTATACGTGAACCTGTCGGATTAGGGATTTTCCAGTTAATTATTAAATACTTTTATTTCAGGCGTTTTTTGAAAAAGCCAAATGTTAGTGAAGCAAGCGAGCAGTTCGGTAAGTTATTTAATCCTGTTTTATCTTTTGATCTTGGTGTTACTTACCGTTTAATATTAAGTAAAATATTTCAAAACTTAACAACTCTTTTTGTTAGTTCCACATGTATACAAATTATCAATGTTGCAGTCTTGAAATTGATATGTATGAAAATTAACAGAATTTATTATTGAAGAGTGGCAAAATGACAATTTTAATATTTCATATATCATATTTAATTAGTTTTGTAATTTTAGGAGCTTTGGCAACTCAATGTGAACAGAAAGAACTGTGGCAATATGCGGGGTTATGTTGGCTAGCGGCAGCTCGTTGCCAAGGTACATTGGGAAACGGTCCATCGGAAATAAACCTTCTAACAAAGGCAGGAAGACAATTTCTCATTTCTGAAAAGAAGAACTGCGACATTGGGTGTCCGTCCATGGGCCAGGAAGATCTACAGGTTTATATTTTAATATTTAAGTATTGCAAAATCACATAAGACCATAGTATTAATAGATAGGAGGCATGAGTATAACTTTTCTTTTCATAATAAACCCAACCAGTAAAAGTGAAGCAAAGCTAAATACAATAAACTGCAAAGTTTACATCAAATACATTGTTGGAAAGGTAGCTTTTGCAGCAACATTTTAAACACACGGCGGGTAAATGTTAGTATCAGACGTGGACAGTGCAGATGCCTTGCGTTCAAGTTTTCAGCTATTATAACTTGTCTTCTTCAATTGTCTTTCTAAGGCAGGTAACTTCAGCATTTAAAGAAATTGAGAATATTAATTACGATGTTTGTCATTTAAAGAAAAGTTTCTTATTTTGTTTTGTAATTGCTTTGAAAAAGGGTATTCGTTTTTAATTTACAGAGATAAACCTATGATAAAGACATACTCTATGTTTTCATCCTATTTGTGTACTGCTTTATTTTTAGAATTACTCAAAATATTGAATATTTCAGGCAGCTGTAAGTTGCTTCGGTCATGCATTAGCTCGAAGCAGTGACCAGCCAGGATTCAGTACGATGTCAGCTGGATTAGCAATGGAGTTAGCTTTAGCTCTTGGCCCAACTTCTGCAGGAATCCAGCAGTTGCGCACTGCTATTTCAATGCAGAAAACACCGCAGGCAATTAACACACTTGCCTCTTATTACATTAAGCAAGGTGCGAGCAATTAGTAAAATAATTGTTACTGTAACAAAACGGTGAAATCTATTTAATATTAATTTCATCGCAATTACTATCAGATGACAAATGCATGTACAAACTTTTATCAGAAATTTTATTTACAATTTAATATTGATATCCAGTTTCCATTGAGATCTCTTAGTAGTAGTAGTAAAGCTTCTTATAGCATTTTTAAGCACTTTTTTATCTCGGGAAGTTTTAAGGAACTTAAATTTCAGAAATTCAAAATTGTAATTAACCTTTGTAAATTTATATTATTCAGGTGATTATGTAGGTGCTCTTCAAGTTCTAACAGAGTTCGTGGATCTAATTGAGGGATGTATCGGTCCAGGAACTATTTCTCGTGGGAACTACAGTGTTATTCTACACAGGTTTGTAGTTTGACTCTTACAATCTTCATGTAACACATTTTTATACATGACACGACCTGCTCTGATAAGTTTGGTAATATTCAGTTCTTATTCTCCGTGTATTTTGTATCATCCACAGATGTGAAATCAGCAGAGTGCTTTTACTGCTTATATTACAACCAACACCACAGAGGTTGCCATCGTCTGTTGAACAAGTCCTAGAAAAATATGCTTGGATTGAAGAAGGAACGAACAGTGGTAAGTAATTTTTTTGCAAAGCCTGAACGTTATTAATTATTAAAAAAAAACTGGTACATTTTCCATTCTTGTTTAGACTAAATTTCAAAATTTTTATAGAACAAAATACTTTCAGTGAACATTACTAATGATTACTAACCGTCGACTAATTTCTGCATGTTGTTTCAGTGAGAAAATTTTATATAAATTACTATCTTGTAGTTATGTAACGATTAATGTAATCCATTGTTTTATAGTGCCAGGAATGTGCGAGGACGAACTGTTATTATTGCAATCATTGGTTTTGGCTTGTCAGTCACGAGACCATCAAGCTCTACTTGAACTGGAAGGGGAATTATGGCCTTACTTGGATGCGGAACAAAAAGAATTACTGAGAAAATTAGTGCAAACATTAGGTTTTCAATGAACTTGGTACAACAAAACATTTTTTGTCTGCATGTATAGATGCAGGATGAGTTTAGTCAGAATCAAATAGGAAACATAGTACAGAGATAGTCTATAGGCAATGGAAACGACTTTTGATGAGCTGATTTTGTGATATTGATCGAACGATGTGATTATCAAAAACGAAGAAAGAATTCATTAAGGAATATTTTACAGAAATTAAACGGAAAAGAATCGCGTCTTGTCCATTGAAACTGGAGAATTTGTTCGATTTTGTTATCGTAGATCTGATTGACTAAGTAAAAGAATTATTATTTTTATAGTTATTTACAAATGTATGAGTATTTTATTGTTAACGTGTTATTTAGTTCTTATATATCTTTCTCATTGCCTATTACACTTCTCACTATATTTCTCATTACCGCATAATTTCTCGATAAAAAAGGCTTTGGAGAAATGACCGATAAGTTCCCGGGAATTTCTCTTCGTTTCTGACGTAACTTACTGGATTTAGAACTCTAAGTGGGGGTTCTTTAGTGTATATCCCACCCACAAGGGAGCGTTGAAGATCGTATACGCAAAAATACATTGCGGTTTTATGGGNAAAGGTATTGCATTTTCTCTTATTTAATTTCTTTTTAAGGAACAAACACCGGTAATTCCGGAATAATAATATATATGGAAAATAAGAAATTTTCATTATCCAAAAAATCTGTAAAATGATCGTAACCCATGTCTTTTATTTTCATTACTTATATTATTATTATATTCAAACTCAGAAAATTGTAGTTTAGCTTTTGATTGTATTTTACGGAATATTTAATAACGTTCTTGTACAGAAGTCATATTGTTTGACTGACGTTTTTATCATAAGCTTATCATGGAATGAGCTTTGCAAGAAAGAATGCAGGGAACAAAATGTATCTATAAAGAGATTGTTTAGAATACTAACAAGGATATTTTGTGCAAATTAAAGTTTAGGGCGATTTTGAAATTTGAATTTTAAGTTAACTTTAATCTAGATGCAAATTTTGTAACGTGTTGTTAATGGTTTCCTTCAATTATCGGCAGTTGGGATTGAAAGAAATATTCGACGAGAAAGCTGACTTTTCAATGATAGCGAAAAAGGCTCTTAAAGTTGGCAAATTCATTCATAAAGCTGTCATGGAATTGGACGAAGAAGGCTGTGATGAGTCAGGTAAATCAATCGGAATGTTCAATACATATCCTAGTATAGATCCTTAAGGTGAAGTGAAACATGTCGAGGAACTTGATCGACGTAGGTAAAAAAGATTTTTCTAAATACCTACGTTGCCGACGTTCGTTTTTATATTGACAGTTGTGTCGAATTATATTGGGTATTGTACCAAATGGCATAGTCTACCTCTCGTTTTTGTACATTAATTATAAAGAAATCGAAGTAAAACTCCAGAAATCCTCTGGATTCATGCTTTCTGGGGCCCTAATTGACTGCAGAGGGACTCCCTGCGCCAGTTTCATTATTATATTGTTGGTCCTTATCGTCTCATTGTACATATAGTTGAAACATTGCTATTAATTTAAAGTATTTGTAATTAATTACATAATTGAGGTTTGAAAAGCGTTTATATTATTGAGAGGTGTATTTAAGGTGAAGTACCCAGTGAACACTGTTATATAACTGTTGGGTAAATGTTACGTTTTCGAAAGTAACACATTATATAGCATAAAAGTAACATGGAAGTTATTATTTCCCACTCAGTAAGGTAACATGTTATGTAACATGTTACATTAATGTTATAATTTCAGTTACCTTAATATAATATTAATTTTTCATCCATTTAATAAAAAAGATGACGCAATTTTATTCAAAATTATATAATTTTATATTTTTAATTATTTTTTGGTACTTGACAATAGTTAGATATTAAATGACAAATCAGAGTTTCAATGAAATTATGTAATGATAAACTATCTGATTTTACTTAAAGACAATTAGGATTTCATTCGACTAGCAAACAATGACTGATAATGTATATGCGCGTACGAATTAAAGTCACATTTTTTCATACGAGTAGTAAACAAAATATGACATATATTAATCTTATGACATTTGACGATGAATTATGACAATGACGATGACGATGATGTAATAAAATAAATGACAGCACTAATGTAGTTCCGTTTTGTTACAAATATGTGCTGCATATACACAGTAATATCAGGACAGTAACATAATGTAAGATGAGAGTAACAAAGTTATGCTACATTTATATAGATATGATAGTAATAAATGTTATGTAACCTGTTAACTCCATGTTACATAACTGTTAAGTTACTGCATTGTAACAAATGTCATGTAACTAGTTAGCTCTATGTTACGTAACTGTCAGGTTATTACATTGTAACAAACGTTATATTATTTGTTAGTTTTAAGTTACGTAACTGTTAGGTTCGGTGTTCAGTGGGTGGACGCCATTTTGGTTCTGGTCTAGGCAGGGTCAAACATTTTTTTCGAATATTATAAACTCATTATTACAAACTAATATTTATTATTCGTTAATAATGTCTTCCCAATGATGCTTCATTTTTACAGGAGGAAGAGATTTATAACTGTTCGATTTAATGAGATCAATAAACGATTGATTTGCTATTTCAGAAAGTCGCAGAATCCGAAGATGGCAATATGTGCGTATCTCCTCTTAGTGTGGCCATGGTGATGGTAATGGTCCTTTTTGGTTCGGATGGTCACACTGCCAAGGAATTGCGTAAAGCACTCCATTTTTCTGCTGAGGAAAAGGATACCAAAGAGGGTTTCCAGAAATTTGTCGAAAGCACCTTCGTAAGTTCAATATTTCCTTTTTTTTCAAGTAAAACTCCTTATGTGGCGCCCGAGTCTCGACCATTTGTCTTAAGGAAGAATGTGGTGCTCATGAAATTTCATTAAAAAAAGAGAATGTACTCTTGGTTCTTGTGTGATAAATAAAAATTGTTGTTGATCAAAATGAAATTTCACTCGCACCACGTTTTTTCTTAGGGCTTTTTCTTAGCGTTTTTTCATAATCACGTGCTGAAGTTTCCAACGATTCGGTGCACCCAGTTTCATATCGCCTTAAGGTGATATGAAAGGGTCATTCTATATATATAAAACGTCAAAATATTCATAAAACTTTTCTCCAAACTGGGCAAACCAAATTATCTGAACCTTTAAGACGTGATTATGGAAACCCTAAGGAAGAACGCTATGCTCGTGAAATTTCATTTTTCGAAAAAAATGTCTTTTGTTTGGTTCTTGTTCGAGATAAATATAAATTATTTGTCGAAAAATGAAATTTCACAAGCATCGTGTTCTTCCTTAGGGCCTCCATAATCACGCGTTAAAGTTTCCAACGATTCGGTGCATCCGCTATGCTCGTGAAATTTCATTTCTCGCAAAAAAGTCTTTTGTTTGGTTCTTGTGCGACATAAATACAAATTATTTGTCGAAAAATAAAATTTCACGAACATTGCGTTCTTCCTTAGGACCTTCATAATCACGTGTTAAAGTTTAAAACGATTTGGTGCATCCGCTATGCTCGTGAAATTTCATTTCTCGCAAAAACGTCTTTTGCTTGGTTTTTGTGCGAGATAAATACAAATTATTTGTCGAAAAATGAAATTTCACAAGCATCGCGTTCTTCCTTAGGATCTCCATAATCACGTGTTAAAGTCTCCAACGATTCGGTGCATCCGTTATGCTCGTGAAATTTCATTTCTCGCAAAAAAGTCTTTTGTTTGGTTCTTGTGCGAGATAAACATAAATTATTTGTCGAAAAATGAAATTTCACAAGCATCGCGTTCTTCCTTAGGGCCTTCATAATCACGTGTTAGGCGATACAAAAGGCTTGTTTTATATACACACATAATATATACATAAGATATCCTTTTATATATACATAAAACGAGCCTTTTGTATCGCCTTATATTACTCACCTTGTCTGCTAACGTCATTTTTCCTTTTGCAGCACAGTAAAGGGGTGGAGTTGCAAAGTATGAGCAATATTATCTTCTCGAATCAGTTATCCTTGAAGCACGAGTACAAAGATCTAATCGAATCGACTTTTCACTCCATAAGCCAACAATTCGACTATTCGAAGAGGAAAGAAGTAACAAAAGAAATCAACAACTGGTTTTCACAGAAGATGCATGAGCGTGTTCGCGATATCGTCTCTCCGGGTTAGTTCTTTCATCAGTATCTTGAATTAGAACAGATAGTTAATCCCCAGCAAGCGTATTAATCTACATCTTATTATTTCACTACATGAAATATTTCACAACGAGTAAAGTGGAAGGAATTATTTGACATGTTATAATTTATACATTTCGGCCAGAGGGGGTATTTCTTGATCAAGAAAAATGTATTTTATTACTTGATGTTTGACCAACAAAAGTTGTAAAATTAAGGTGAAGTGAAACACGTCGAGGAACTTGATCGACGACGATAAAGAAAATTTTTCTAAATGCCTACGTTGCCGACGTTCGTTTTTATATCGACAGCTGTGTCGAATTATATTGGGTATTGTACCAAATGGTATACTCCACCTGTCGTTTTCGTACAATAATTATCAAGAAATCGAGGTAAAACTCCAGAAATCCTCTGGATTCATGCTTTCTGGGGCCCTAATTGACTGCAGAGGGACTCCCTGCGCCATCTGTGATTTCCAGGTCAATTAAATTTTCACTCCGAGACCTCGTATTACCATCGTTTTAGCAAAGAAGCGCATACAACACTTTTTTTGCCTTTATCCCGTTCAAGTGCGAGTTTATCAATTACCAGAGTGTTCTAAATTGTCGTAAAATTGCCCTGACTCTTTCGTTTCTCATATCAGAGCCTTCGATAATTGTATATTGATTGAAATATGAGAGCTCGACGCCATCTTGGTTCCGGTCTGGACTGTTAAAAAATTTTGTTAAAAAATCCAAATTTTGAATGTGTCAGGACAATTTTTAGATGATCAGGCGTGACGTGTCAAAGTTTCGGACAGTTTGATCCAATACCCTTTAAAAAAAGTGTTGTATTCGAATCGACTGATTTGAGAGGGGTTTCACTTCACCTTAAGCATTCAGCATTCTCTTGCGATCGTTGGTGAAAGTATTTGCCATATTTTCCCATCTGACTCTGTAATATTACGTTTTTACGGTATTCTAAATTCTTCGAGCCAGGTCCTGAAAATCATCATTTTCAATTCTAACCCTAGTAGCATAGAATAATTTCTAAGTATTTCATTGTAATCTTTACTAAATATCTCGAGCGACAGATTTTTTAAGATTTCGAATGAAATCTACAAAAAATCTTAAAAAAATCTGTCGCTCGTGATATTTAGCAGAGATTACATAGAAATATTTAGAAATTATTCTATCTTATCAAGGAAGGAAATCATTTTTCCTGATTTCTGAGTTAGTAACTTCTTGAATGTATGTACATATTCGGCTCGAAATTCTGGCGAAAAGAAACTCGATCTCGTGCACATGAACTGCTCGGTAAAAAACTGCTACACCTAGATATCGAAATTGTGCATTTCAACGCTTTTGTGTGAAAGAGTAGAATCCCGAAATCTGGGAAATTCGGCGAGTACTCTATTGCCTAATTTTAGAAATTATGTTGTTCTCGCAGATTGTCTCAGCGACTCGTCATCCATGCTGTTGACCAATGCCTTTTACTTCAAGGGCTCGTGGGATGCTTTCTTCAATTTAAGCGATACCGAGGACAGGGCTTTTCATGTAAATGAGAAAATTGTCAAACACGTACCGACCATGTTCACATCTGGTACTTTCAAATACGGAAAATTGGAAGAATTGAATGCCAAATTCATTGAATTGCCGTTTAAGGTATGTTATAAATAAGTTCCCTTGTAACAACGAATATTGGTAATATACCCATCAAACACAATTACGTAATAATAATATAATTATTACATAACATTCGTTACATGTAATGTTTTCAAATTTGAAAAATTGGGAGAATTGAATGCCAAATTCATTGAATTGCCGTTTAAGGTATGTTATAAATAAGTTCCCTTGTAACAACGAATATTGTCAAACACGTACCGACCATGTTCACATCTGGTACTTTCAAATACGGAAAATTGGAAGAATTGAATGCCAAATTCATTGAATTGCCGTTTAAGGTATGTTATAAATAAGTTCCCTTGTAACAACGAATATTGGTAATATACCTATCAAACACAATTACGTAATAATAATATAACTATTACATAATATTTGAAACATGTAATGTTTTCAAATACGGAAAATTGAAAGAATTGAATGCCAAATTCATTGAATTGCCGTTTAAGGTATGTTATAAATAAGGGTTTTGAATTAGTTTCCTTATAACAACGAATATTGATAATATACCCATCAAACACAATTACGTAATAATAATATAATTATTACATAACATTCGTTACATGTAATGTTTTCAAATTCGAAAAATTGGGAGAATTGAATGTAAATTCATTGAATTGCCGTTTAAGGTATGTTATAAATAAGGGTTTTAAATTAGTTCCCTTATAACAACGAATATTGGTAATATATCCATCAAACACAGTTACGTAGTAATAATATGTAAAATAAATGCAAATAAATCTTTGAAGTATTGGCAAATTCTGTCTCGGTTTGAGGGTAATGTATTCTTTGAGAAATTGACATAATGTAATATTTTGTAAAGAAATTATTTCTTTTCTTTACACATTTAAACTGAAAAAGGGGAGAAGCTTGTTTAAAAGTTAAATAACGTGTGATAAGAGTTTTTTATAATTATGTTTTTTCAGGGAAAGGACATGAGTGCTTTCATATTTCTTCCAAAAGATATAAATGGTCTTCCAGAACTTGAGAAAAAACTGCATAAAATAGACCTTCAAGAATTATCTAAAAACGCAATAAAGAAGAAGATTCGACTCTACTTGCCGAAATTCAAGATCGAATCCAAACTAAGGCTCGGCGAAGCTTTGAAAAAGGTATTGCATTTTCTCTTATTTAATTTCTTTTTAAGGAACAAACACCGGTAATTCCGGAATAATAATATATATGGAAAATAAGAAATTTTCATTATCCAAAAAATCTGTAAAATGATCGTAACCCATGTCTTTTATTTTCATTACTTATATTATTATTATATTCAAACTCAGAAAATTGTAGTTTAGCTTTTGATTGTATTTTACGGAATATTTAATAACGTTCTTGTACAGAAGTCATATTGTTTGACTGACGTTTTTATCATAAGCTTATCATGGAATGAGCTTTGCAAGAAAGAATGCAGGGAACAAAATGTATCTATAAAGAGATTGTTTAGAATACTAACAAGGATATTTTGTGCAAATTAAAGTTTAGGGCGATTTTGAAATTTGAATTTTAAGTTAACTTTAATCTAGATGCAAATTTTGTAACGTGTTGTTAATGGTTTCCTTCAATTATCGGCAGTTGGGATTGAAAGAAATATTCGACGAGAAAGCTGACTTTTCAATGATAGCGAAAAAGGCTCTTAAAGTTGGCAAATTCATTCATAAAGCTGTCATGGAATTGGACGAAGAAGGCTGTGATGAGTCAGGTAAATCAATCGGAATGTTCAATACATATCCTAGTATAGATCCTTAAGGTGAAGTGAAACATGTCGAGGAACTTGATCGACGTAGGTAAAAAAGATTTTTCTAAATACCTACGTTGCCGACGTTCGTTTTTATATTGACAGTTGTGTCGAATTATATTGGGTATTGTACCAAATGGCATAGTCTACCTCTCGTTTTTGTACATTAATTATAAAGAAATCGAAGTAAAACTCCAGAAATCCTCTGGATTCATGCTTTCTGGGGCCCTAAATGACTGCAGAGGAACCCCCTGCGCCATCTGTGATTTCCGTGTCAACTAAATTTTTACTCTGAGACTTCGTGTTACCATTTCCTTTAGCATAGCAGTTCATAAGACACTTTTTTCGCCTTTTTCTGCCTTTATCCCGTTCAAATACGAGTTTATCGGTTACAAGAGTGTTCTAAATTGTCGTACAATTGTCCTGACACTTTAATTTCATATATGAGAACCTTCAATAATTGGATATTGATTGAGATATGAGAGCTCGACGCCATTTTCATGTGTCTAAGTTTTAGACGGTCCGATCTAATACCCTTAAAAAAAATGTTTTATTCGAATTGTCTGACTTGAGGGGTGTTTCACTTCACCTTAAGGTGATGTGAAAGTGGCATCGAAGAGGTTTTGTTTATAAAACTTTTCTCCCTACTCGATTTACCGAATAGTTTGAAACTTTACAACGTGAATAGGGAGACTATAAGGGAGGTCCTGAAACTCATGAAATTTCAATTCTTTCCATATTTGTTTATAGGTATTTTAAAAATAGTTTATGAAAAATGAACTTTCGCGAGTTTCAGGACCTACCTTAGGGTCTCCATATTCACGTTTTAAAGTATGAAACGATTCGAGACACCCAGTTCTATGAAAAGTTTTATGAACGATTGAGCATTCGGATGCCACTTTCACATCCCCTTAAGGCCAATAGTTTACGATGTAAAGCGGTAAATTAAGTGCCAAGTGAATGTTTTTTCGGATCATTTTAAATCTTCAACGCTTGTTGCGCCTTTTTATTAAAGTTTTATGAATATTTCAGAATCTGAGAAACAGCACGAGGAAGAAAAGAAAGAAAAGGAAGATAAGGAAGAGAAGAAAGACAAGGAAGAAAAGGAAGAGAAAAAGCATAAGGAAGACAAGGAAGAAAAAGAAGAGAAAAAACATAAGGAAGACAAGGAGGAAAAGGAAGAGAAGAAACATAAGGAAGACAAGGAGGAGAAGGAAGAGAAAAAACATAAGGAGGAGAAGGAAGAAAAAGAAGAGAAAAAACATAAGGACGAGGACAAGGAGGAGAAGGAAGAGAAAAAACACAAGGAGGAGAAGGAAGAAAAGGAAGAGAAAAAACATAAGGACGAGGACAAAGACGAGAAAGAGGAGAAACATAAGGAAGATGACAAAGACGAGAAAGATAGTAAACACGAGGAAGATGATTCAAAATGGCATAATTTCGAAGCCGATCATCCGTTCCTTGTAACAGTACACAACAATGGAGTCCCAGTCTGCTGTTCCCGAGTTTGCAATCCTAACTAAAAGATGGAGTTCCATCATCAAGGTCCTGACAAAAATCATCACTTTATGACTGTTTAAACAGTCAAGTTTTCTTGTTATATAGTTAAAGCGTGTGTGTTTGCTTTTTAGTTCCGCGTATCTCTGTAAAGATGACGCGTTAACTTACTTTCTTGCAAGCTAGATACATTCATGGATAAACACTATGCACGTTTTATAAAAAATAGAAATATTATGGGCTTATTACACATACGTTTCGACAAGTCTAAGAGGTATTAAGAAGAATGCTTCTAATAAGATTTACGTCTTAAAGCGAAAAAAATAAGATTAGATAATTACAATTTGGCTTATAAAATTTCGCTAGAACGGTGTAAATATTGTTTCGGTGTTATAAATTAATTTGTTAGAAAATCATGTAAAACTTATTACATATTTATTCCTTGATGATTTGAATATTCTTTAAACATTATATTATGTTCTAAAGGTTTATATGTAAGTCTGGATTGAACATTTGGAATAATTTTAAGAAAGAAAACTAAACGTTTTGTGAATGAGCTGAGTTATTAAAAATATGTCTAAACATGTGCAATAAATATTTTAATGGCTTATCGAATTTGCCGACATAACTATTTTTCATAAACAACTTTAAATATTTTCTCCTGAAATTCTGGTAGGAATGGGGATTAAATAAATACAATCTATAGCTGAATGGTAACATGCTATAACCAGTGCACCGATATTAATTATTATAGTCATACACCGGGTAACCTGAAATTAAATGTAAATCTGTTAACATATTATTTTCCCTAAGTTACATGAGCAAACAAATAGTTAATCATTATGCACTGATAATGACAAAATTTAACTAATTGATGGATGATTTGAAATCTTAATATATTTTAATAATGCCAAACGGCAAACAAACTATATTTCACAAGGGCGGATTAAAAAATTCTTATTTATGCAGTTTGATAAAATTGTATTAAAAAGGTGTTAATAATATTATTAAAGATATTAAAGGTCGAACTGTCCTAATAACTAGATCAGAAAAAGCGTTGGAAAATTGTTTAATTCCGTAAGAACGACGCGTTAGAAATTCGAAATGAATTGTTTGAGTATCTGGAACTATCTTAGCATTTTCATAATTACCTGTTAAAATTTCAGGTGAATCGGTTTATTTATCTTTAAAACGAATTATCCGTGCAACTGACCGTTCAGCGTCATGTCTTTTTGTTCCCTTCAGTTGCCACTAGGCGCGTATGAGTGTTTCTCCTTTGAAGTGTTTATAACATTCTGCGTGTAATTGGTAACGCATACCATCCAGCTAATGAAACTGGGAATCCAAATTCGTTAGGGTACACGTGTTAGAATTTCAGATGAATCGGTTTATCTATCTTCAAAATAAATTATCCGCGCAAACGACCGTTCAGCGTCATGTCTTTTTAGTTCCCTTCAGTTGCCACTAGGCGCGCATGAGTGTTTCTTCTTTGAAGTGTTTTTAACATTCTGCGCATAATTGTTAACGCATAATACCATCCAGCTAATGAAAATGGGAATCCAAATTCGTGTTAGGTACACAGTGACATTTAGTACCTCCAATATTTCAAGCAACATTCAGACGTCCCTTGAGTTACATATGAAGAATATATTAGCATGTTTCACAAACTTGTAACATTTACTTCTTCCCTGCGCAGAAAAGCAAGTACATCGATTAATTCAATAGTAGTTAATAAAAATTACTGGCTACAATTAAACAACGCCATTTGTATCGCTCGAACAAATTCGATACGCAACGCTTACAGAGAGCACAATCACGAAGCCTAAAAGTCCTCCAATTGTTAACAAACTTTATCGATAACATAACATGAAATTTTATTTATAAATATTCCTCAACATGGATGTACAATTTGTGGTTATCGCGAAATACATTTTATAAATGCCTAACGAACATCTATTCGATCTCCTCTAAATGTCCAATAAGCTCTTTTCACTGACATTCATTTAATAAACAGCAAGTTATTAAAAAATTAACGATGCTATAGTCGTTCGAATGTCATCGAAGATTAGCATAGCTGAACTTTTAACAATTATAAGTATTATATAAACGTAGCATGGTACCGATTTCACGTATATTTCGGGCAAAGAAATTAAAGTGGGTCCTTCAAATGACTTCTTTTATTCTCATGAATAATAAAAAATGGTTCAGAAAGAAGTTGGTTAGATTCTATGAAAGATAACACTCGTTAATTACTTTTTAAAGATGTTTTCAAGGTCAGCGCCATTTTTAAAATATACTTAAACTTAAATCATTTATTTTAATTTGGATTTTTTGTCTTGTGAGTTGTAGAGATAATGGAGACGAATTCATTGATCATAATTAAGTAACGTTTAAATGTTTTGTTGAGATATTTTAATTTATAATATGAGAATAACGAGCATTTTATCACTCGAAATTCATTCTTTCATCAAATTGCGTAACGCGCATTATTCCCATTTTTGAAGCACGATGTTTTACAAAAGGTTTGTCGAAAAATCACTTAAATATGGTCGATACGTTTTTCTTTCATTTCTTATAGAACATTTGGTAAGAATACAAAAGTCAGAATCTAGTAAAGTACCACTCAAATCATGAAGATGAATTTTTTTAAATTGCGCGATGCCCCTAGTAGCATAGAATAATTTCTAAATATTTCTTTCTAATCTTTGCTAAATATCTCAAGCGACAGATTTTTGTAATATTTCTTGTAGATTTCATTCGAAGACATCTGAAATATTTGTTGA